CAGGGGACGGGCTCCCGCGTGTCGAGGCCGGGGGCCTCGGGGAGGGTCCAGGCAGTCACTCCACGTCATCCAGCTCCTCTGACTCCGGCTCTGGGGCCTCAGAAGGTGACGGCGACAAGTCGGGTGGGCAGACCCCGGGGACAGACACCCACTGCTCGGCCCTCCCCGCCCACGGGAGCTCCCGGGCCCGAGGCGAGGTGCCCGCGCCCTAACGTGGTCTCCGAGCCTGGACGTCCGAGCGTGGGGACGGGGATGTGACGCCAGGTGATGGCAGAGGAGCCCGGAGGCTGGCTGACTGGTGCCAGCAGCTGGGAACTCACGGCCCTGACGTTGGCCTCTGTGAGGCCCAGCAGTTCTTACTGGGGGAGTTTATTTGCTCATTTCTAAAACGTGAAGCCCGGGTCTTCGCCTTCGAGCTTCAGTCCACCCGATCTACTTGCCTCTGGGGCTTTCAGGGCCCATCCGCACCCGGAAGCACTGCTGGCATCTCCTCCGCATTAGCCCCCCACGGACGACCATGCACCCGCTGCAGCGGCTGTCTCCCAGGTCTGACCTGCAGTCCCTTGTGCAGGCGGTGCGGGGCAGGCAGGGGCGCCCTCCCAGTGAGCCAGAGCGCGGGACACTGCCTACCGGGTGTGCCCGCTGCGCACGCCAGGTGCCTGCCACACACCCCGCTCCCGCCGGGCGTTCACACCACCGCTGAGCCCGGCTCCTGAGGCCCATTCCTGCCCGCCTGTCACCTCTCATCTCCTGGCCACGGGGCTCCAGTGAGGAGCAGGTGGGGGGGGGGGGTCAGCTCTGTCACTTGGAATTTCAGCTCCTAACTGCTCTGTGTCGTCTGCAAATGTGGTACGTGGGCTGATAAAGTCTGATCACGCCACTGGCTCTGCAGCTGAGCAGCTGGGGTGCAGTGCATCAGGGCCTGCTGGGACGACACAGGCCGCCCCCTCACCCACACCCCAGAGCTCGGTACTCCATCCCGGAATGTACCAGGCTCCAGAGCTTCTCCACACCCTGCGGCCGGCGGCGGTGGCGGCGGTGGCACCTTCTCTCCCAGCAGGATGGCGGTGAGACCCCGTGTGAGAGGGTGGAGGGCTGGCCTGGCTGAGCCGGAAGGTGCTTGCCCCTCTGCACCGGCCTGGCAGCGGCACGGAAGAGAACCGGAAAGGCTGTGCTGGCGGACTGCAGCGCTCAGCCTGCCCAGCAGAGAAGGGGGGTGTCTGGGCCTCAGCCCACGGCCAGCGCCATGCTGCAGCCAACCTGCGATGGGCTGAGGCCGGAGAGCAAACAGGCTCCGAGCTCCTGGGAGAGGCGGCTTCACCTCCTGCAGCTGGGAGCTCAGAATCGTGTGCAGAGATGGCACTCGCTGAATGAGAAAGAGCAGCTCTGCCCAGACACCTAATCCCGCCTTTTGCCACAATCGTCACCAAAACTGCGTCCAACTCAGTGGATACAGCCAGGGGGCAGGCCCACATGAAAGGACAGTGCGGTCTCTGTCCGTAGCCACAGGAAGGACGCGGCAGGAAGCGCCCGTCCGGGCAGCCCCTGCCTCCGATCGAGAAGGCAGCTCGGCTGGGACCACAAGGCCCTCAGGCGATGACCATTCCTGAAGAGGTCCACCAACTGCCTTTTGCTGAATTAAGCTGGAGATCAGAGCTCACCAAAAAATGGCATTTAGTTCTTGGAAATATGAGTGGCAACGTAAGAAACAGCGGTAGAGAAACACGATTTTAACCTCTGAGACAAAGCCTGGAGCTCAAGAAAGTAATACAGTCTGCTCCTGGCCCAGCTCCCTCGACCCCTTCGCAGGCCCCACCAGGGATTTGCTGGGGAAACGCCTGCCGCCCTTTGCTCAGGTACCAGCCAACCAGTCCTCTGCGCCGCCGCCGCCTCCACGTTTGGCCGGTAGAGGGCGCCGCATCACCACTCTCTCACGCTAACCTGGGCTTTGCAACTTGATCCTTGGTTCACACAAAGACCAGGCTGAGGGAGTTGTTCTCATGCTTGTGGTTCAACACCACAGGAGGAGGAAGCAGCAAAACACCAGCTTGCTGTTACGTGATATCGCCTCTGGAATCAGTGCACAGAAAAATGACAATTATGCACCTTTGCTCATTGGAAATGGGATTTCTGTATTCTGTCAGTTTTCTTCAAGTTCGTATTACTCTCATAAACAGAAAAATCCCCAGGACTGCTCAGGGGCTCTGGAGTTTGGGGGGAGAGGGAGGCAGTGGGTGAGAGCAGCACAAGGTCTTAGACTGATGGAGACGCATTTTTGCAAAACTGAATATGTGCCTGGACCTGCGCTGAGGGCTGGGAGGTCACTGGCACTGGACACAGCCCTGCCTCCAGGAGTTCGATCATAGAGTAAACACAACGCAGACGAACGCTGAACGGCCAAGGGACTCAGAAAAGAAAGCCAAGACCCGGCCCAGCCCCTGGTGTTCAGGGAAGGCTCCCTGGGAGAGGGGGCCTGGGGCTGATATCTCCCGTGTCCACGTGAGCAGAGACACAGAAGCAGGAAACAGGAAGGGAAGACCAGGCTACCAGGTCAGCGTGAGGTCTGAGGCTTGGGGAGGCGAGAGGGCGGAAGCTGCCAGATTCCTCTGCCGGGAGTTAGAGACCTGAAGCCTCAAGGGATCGAGTAGCACGCTCATCATTTCAGCGATCTCCAATGGAAAGCTCGGATAAGTCATCAGCATCTCGTTTTTAAAAAATTATCAAAGATGCTGGATAAGAAAACAATACAAAAGCCAAAGGCACAGAAGCCCTAGGAATCGGGAGGCTCCGCAGCTGTGTGTGCCCTGTAACCCACCGCACAGCGAGGCGGGAGGCCGAGCGACTGTGGTTTGACTGGGAAGCACTAACATAACATCCAATTATTCTGCTACTGGCTGACTTAACTCAGCCAAATTAGGATACATTTTATATTGACTATTTTGACATTTGTTTTTATTTGGCAAGTAAAACAAAACTGATCCAATTTCCTTACAAGCACTGTAAACCATAAACTGTACAACAAGAGGTTATAAAATATGGAAGCCTTGTACTCACCACCTGCAGTTCCACCCACTGCCACACGGGGTCTCGGGCCCTCTCACCTCAGTGGCCAGCGACCGGGCTCCACCACTGACTGTGCCCACCACTGACCGTGTCCACCACTGACTGACCGTGCCCACCACTGACCGTGCCCACCACTGACCATGCCCACCATGGACTGACTATGTCCACCACGGACAGACTATGCCCACCACTGACCATGCCCATCACTGACTGTGACCACCACTGACCGTGACCACCACTGACTGACCGTGTCCACCACTGACTGACCATGCCCACCACTGACTGACCATGCCCACCACTGACCGTGTCCACCACTGACCGTGCCCACCACTGACCGTGCCCACCACTGATCGTGCCCACCACTGACCGACCGGCAAGCTTCTGTGGGGACCGGTCCTCCTGCTTTAACTCACTGGGAAGCAGCACCTTCTTCACCCAACAGGAAGGTAAAACCTGCCCGAGGTTGTGCCCATTTCCAGGTCCTTCCCAGCCGAGGATGTCAACAGGGAGCAGCTGGAACGGCCCAGCAATGAGCCTGCCCCAGGTGATGGGCCTGCACGGCCCTGAGCACAGGTGAGGGGACTGCAGCTCTGGCCGCGCCCTGTGCAGTGAGCAAACGCTGAACTGACTGCATCAGCCCCGAGCTCCTAACCCAGCGTGGGGACCTGTCTCCTGCCAAGGGCCATTGCATATTCACAACATCTCTCGCAGGCCATAAGCATCACCAACTTAGCATTAGCCTGGGATATCTGGTTAAACACTTATTAATCACCCCTGGTGGCTTGGCAGGCCAGACCAAACGGTTTTGAGGGCCAAGGCTTATACGCCCATGGCTGGACGCTCCCCACCTGTCCTAACCCAGGCAGACACACGCAGCCGCCCCGCCTCCCTCTGGGTACACATCCGCTATTTATGTCTTCCCCATCGGAGTGAGCTGGGAAACTGCTTCTGGAGTGTCAGCGATTCCAGGTAGTTAAGCTTAAGGACCGCTTGGCTGTGGCCTGTCAGGAGGAAGCCCAGGCTGTCTTCATGGAGGATGAGCCGAAGGAGCTGGCTTCTCTCAGAGAGCAGTGCAGCCCGGCCACCCTGCGCCTCCCGGGGCCAGGGTGGACCAGGACGGGGAGCCCGCCGGACCGCTCTGCCCTGATCCTGACAGACTGGGTTCCTCTCCATTCGCGCACCTGGAAGCTTCTAGACCCATTTACGTGACAGTAATCCCCAATGACACCGCCGCCAGGCCTTCCTCGTTTTATTTACTTTGGTAATCCCCGTCTCAGACTTAATCCGTCCTCGCTGCTGTTGCTCCTTGTCCTCAAATAATTTACTCCTAGAGATGCAAGGTTTCTTCGTGTGGCGGGATTCTTTCCCCGCCCGCGTCTTGCAGAAAGTGAGACCGTTCCCACCACCATCCCGACCAGAATCAGCTGCAGAGCGCTGTTTGCTCTCCCGAGATTCTCTGCGGAAACAACGATTAAAACTAACATCTCCTGAAAGACTTCTCACTGTTCTCTCAAACCCAAACACTCACGTCTTGGCTCTACTCAGTGGGAAAAGGAACAATGTGAAAATGAACACAGTGACTTACCGACCCTCCCGGGTTTCTGAGGAGCGGCTGGCCGAGGCAGAGGGACCGCCACCCTCTTCGCCACGAGGCCGCAGGCCCCGCCGGGCGGATGCAGCTGCAGCCCTTCAGCCGGCCGGCACCTGCAGCTGCCCACCCTGCTCCCTCAGGGCCTAGTGTGTGCGGGACAGGACACGCCGTGGCCTTCGCATTCCAGCGATGCGAGGATTTCTAACTGGACTGTGAAATCTCCTCCGAAGGCACACTGCTTCCCCACCATTTCAGCAGATACTGGGCGGAGGGGCTCGGAAACGTGCGCCCTGGGACCCAAGACCACGCGACTGTAACCACGGAGGTGCCACGGGCCGGGCCTCACCTGGGAAGGCTGGGGGCGGGGGTGGAAGCGGCGGACGACTGGGAAGGTGTTGTGGGCTGGGATGAGTCGTGGTTCCTTGGAACTCGGCCCATCCGGTACCAGATGCCCATGCTGTTCAGTTCCCTTTGGGAGAAAAGAGATCTTCATGGCGCGGGTGAGCACCAAGCATTTACCTGAGTGACAGAGCACACGGCTCCTTTGAAAGAACCGCCGCCTCAAACATCAGGCAACTGCTGCCCACAGACAGGCCACCTGTGCCCTCTGTGCCCTGGGCCACCTCACCCCTCCATGCCTTGGGCCACACCGCCCTCTGTGCCCTGGGCCACACTGCCCTCCGTGCCCTGGGCCACCCCGCCCTCCGTGCCCTGGGTGTCGCCGTTCAGAGCCGGCCTCCGGTGGCCAGCGTGGCGGTCCGGCCCGGCTGAGCCGGCACAGAGAGGAGGTGAGGTCTGTCAGGAGACTCACCCGATGAAGGTGTACTGAGGGGGCGCCTGCTTGGTCCGGCCCATGATCCGGATGTCGCAGATGGCTGCTTCCGTGGAGTCCCGCGGGATAAACTTGATGCACAGCCGCTTCTTCCTAAAGGCCACTTCCTCTGCGGGCAGAACAGGGAGAGGCTGAGTCTCTACTCGGCGCATCCTGTCCCGTCACGTTCCCTTTCTGGCAGCGGGAGGGGCTGGTCATCCAAGCGCCGGACAGAAGCGCTGGGCCCTGCCCTCCGGCCTCCCCGGCCCACGCGGCAGCGGAGTGCGGGCCGAGGGCAGCCTTCCCCGCGGACAGCGACTTCCCCGCGCCGCCTCCGCGGCAGCCGGCAGGACAGCACACGGACGCTGCGCGTGACCACACTGCATCACACGAACTCTCTTTCCTCCTGTCCACTGGAGAATTCTCCAACGCTCCCCGGAGTGCAGGACCCTCCCCCCCCACATCCCCGTTCTGTCATCCATTTTCAACGCCGCCCCATGGACCGCGGGCTTCACCCCGGGGCCTGGCCGGAGGCGTTAGGGTGCATCTCTAATACGAGGTGACCAGACAAAAATCGGGACTGTCCCGCCAAAAGCGGGACGTCTGGTCACCTTACTCTAACACCATGTCTTGTCACCTGTCCTATAGCTCAGCAGGCACCTGGGGCAGACAATCCTTTTTAACACGATCACTACGCCATGACCATCCTTAAGAAAATGAACAACAGTTCCTAATACATCCAATCAATAGTCTATATTCAAGTTCCCTTCATGGTCTCAAAGAAGCCACTTCACTGCCAGTTTGTCTGACCGGCTGTCAGGCCTCTCCAGTCCCTCTTACTCTGGCACAGCCTCTCCCCAACCCTTGTCCTCGGGCACTGGTGCTGGAGAAGCTGGTCACTCCCCTGTGCCCCTGTGAACGGCAGTCACGGCGAGAGGCCCGGTAAGAGGCAGGTTGGGGATTTTTTAGACAAAAACACTTCCCGGTGGTGCAGGTACATCCTGCGGCGACAGCTCGCCCGCTCAGCTTCTGGGGGTGTCGGTCTGTCCCCCGGGACGAAGTCCCCAGCAGCCACTCTCTGAGTGCTCACCCCCCACGGCTGTGCTTAGATCCATCATTTCATTAAAGGTTTCCAAGTGGCGATTTTCTGTCATCCTCCTACACGTGTAGCTGGAATTCTTCTATAATATATAAAAAATAACTTTGCTTCAGCTACTTGGGCTCTCTGAAACACATTGTATTTCAGAGGAAACAAGATAAAGACGTGATGCTTTAGTTACCGAGTCTTCGGGATGCGTCTGTGCCTGTGCCCTCCCAGCCCCGCGGTGCCTGCCGGTGTCTGCTTGCTCATCCGTGGGTTTTAAACACGTTTCGTTAACTGCCGTCACTCAGACGTGAGTCACATAGACCCGGGCACTATGGCTTTAATCTCTCCGGGCCTCCGTCCCTCTGTCCGTAAAAGGAGCCGATGGAACCCACCCTGAGGGAGCGGGCGGATGAAAGGGGGTCGAGATACGCTTCCCTGAGCCCCGTGCCTGGCACACGTATGTGCTCAGTGAGGAACAGCCATGAATATCTTATCATCATCATGGAAGCTTCCAGCACACGATTTCAGTGGGGGCTCAGCACTGACTCCCAAGCCCTTTCCTTTCTGCGTCAGGAAACAGGCATTCAAATCCGGGAGCAGCAAGAGGAGGGCAGGGCAGCCTGCGGCCGGTCTAGACTTTACCAGGAGGAGCCCAGGTCATAGGTGCGTGTTGCTGTGTGTGTGTGTGGGGGGGGGGAGGGTGGGGGGGGGAGAGTGGAGGGGTTGCTAAGAGCCAGATGGACACTCAGAAACTCTGTGGGTTCTCTTCCTTGGTGAGGACACTGAGGGCTTGACAGGACCTACAACCGAGAGTAACAATGTCCTGAATCCTGCTCCTTGGAAAACATCCCTGCTCCGTGGAAAACATCCGAGACAAGATCAGCCTCTGATGGTGAAGGAGGTGAGACTTGCCCGCACAGGTGAGAAGGCAGATATTTCACTCGCTCTTGCCATGCTGCTCTCTGCTCCCTTCCTCCCTCTACAGCACGGAGCCGCTAACTGCACGCGCTGCAGCAGGCCTGGCTGTAAGTAAATATGTTCTGCAGAGCCAATAGGAATGCGTCCAGTCATGCCAATGAGCACAGAGAGGACACAGCCCTTTACTAAAGCAAACAGCCTGCCAGTGGCTAAGGACTACATGGATTGCAACTAACTGTACTTTAAACTGATTACAGGAGTCGCCTCCTTTTGGCTGACTTTATAAAATCAGGGCCTCACATGCACCTAAACGGCACCCATGCCCTGGGTAAAGGCCCCAGGAAATGACACGAAATGAAGGCGACCCCGAACCCATCCTCCTTGTGAGGTAAGACACCCGGTAGAGAGGCCAGGACAACTTGAGAAAGTCCAGGCACAGGGAAAGGCTGCCCGCCGTGGGTCATGGCCCAGGCTCACCCCACAGCAGCCAGACCGCAGCCCAGGCGGGCCCCCCTGGGCTTCCTTGCTGAACTGGTTCAACGAGAGCAAAGTGCAGAATGGGAAAGTGTAGACCCTGTGGCTCTACAGTATCAACACAAAGACACCGGCAGTCAGTTAGTTGTTGAAAACAAACACCAATTCTAAAACGCAGAAAGGCAGGGGATGGGGGTGGAAAATTAACACAAATCTACAGGCAATTTTAGTTCTCAAGTGGACAAGCCATTTAAGAATAAGCAAAGGTAGCAAGCAACCACTTGTGAAATGCCCAGTCTTGCTAATAAATAACGAAATGAAAATTCAATAAAATTGGGATAGCAAAAGTAAATTAAAAATTTAAAACCGATGCTGGCAGGTCTGTGGGAAACAGGTACAAGCCTGTGTCATTAGTGGCACCGTGGATTAGTATTTCTGGAAGTTAATCTGGCAACAGAGAGTAATAACGCTTATCTTTATTGAGCCCATCCTCTGAGCACGGCACTGTGTGCAATGGGGACCTTAGGCAATTCAAAGGTAAATTAAACACGGATCTTGCCCTCAAAGAAAGAGGTAAGTAGCAAAGACATGAAGAAAACACATAAATGGCTAAAATGCAGCTAAGAACATGATTGTGAGGTAGACAATATCCCCTTGCCCATTTTACAGATGAGGAAACTGAGGCCCAGGAGGGTGAAGTCCTATAGTTGTTAAGTGCAAAGCCAGACTCGATGTCAGGTGGGTCACCTCCACAGCCCACGTTCTCCATGGGCCACGCTGCACTTGGTCCTCGTGGAGGTAACGACGGGAATTAAGAGGCAGAATCACTGCCTTCGGCTTCCCGCCACTGTGACAAGCACTGCTTCCTTCCCTCCCGCCTTCAGTACGTGTTTGCGATGAAGGCAGGGGCTGGCCTCTGACGGGCGTAGCCCTGTCTCATTATGCTGAAATGCAGGTCCTTGTTGCCATGTGCACATCACCCACTAGACTACGGTCCTTGAGGGGAGGGCCAGGATCCTCGTCACCTTCACATCCCAAAGCCCGCAGTGCCACAGGCACCGCCAACCTGAGCTGACCGGGCTTGCTTCACTCTGGTGCGCAGGGACCAGAGTCTGCCTGATGCCGGTGGGAGGACTTGGGCTCAGCCGGGAAGATATGGGGTGTGGGCGTTCCGAGTTGAGAGGAAGGGCATTTCAGGCGAGGAAAACTAGCAAATTTGTAGCCAGCAAAGAAAGGAGCCTGGGGAATGCACAGCGCACATGTGAGTCTGCATGTGAGGGGCACCTTACAGAGGAAGGCTGGGCAGACCACAGGGCCCAGGACCCAGGAGCCTTAACTACTTGGACACCCATCACCAGGAAATCATTCACAATCTGTACATACCTATAGAGTCAATATCGTTCCTATCAAAATCCCAGCTGGCTTCTTTGCAGAAACTGACAAATCCCAAAATGTATATGAAAACCAAGGGACCCAGAATAGTCAGATCATCTCGGAAAAGAACAAAGTTGGAGGACTCATAGTTTCAAAACCTGCTACAGAGCTGCAGTGATCAGTCAGGACTGGCATGAGGAAAGACACAGGTCGATGGAGGAACTTGAGTCCAGAAACAAACGGGCAGTTATGGCCCCCTGATGCTCACCACAGACGCCGAGACAGGTTGCGGAGGGAAGGATGGTTACTCAGCTGGAATTCGCATGAGCGAGAATGAAGCTGGACCCTTATCTCACACCATTCCCAAAAACTAACTCCAACTGGACCGCAGACATAAGTGTTAGAGTTAAAACTGTAAATCTCTTAGAAGAAAACATCGGCATGAATCTTGGTGACCTTGATTTAGGCAATGATTTCTTGGGTATGTTACCAAAACTTTAAAAAAGGTAAACAGATCCCATCAAAAAAGGTAAACAGATCCCATCAAAATAAAAAACTTTTTGAAGGACAACAAGAAAGTAAAAAAAATAACAACAACAAAAAAAACAACCCAAAAATGGGAGAAAATATTGCAAATCATATAATTAATAAAATATTTATATATAGAATACAGTCAAACCCTGAAAAACACAGGGGATAGGGCACCAATCCCCACATAATAAAAAAAAAAATCCAGATATAACTTTTGATTTCCCAAAAATATAACTACTAATAGCGTACAGTTGACTGGAAGCCTTGCCAATAACATATATGGTCAATTAATACATATTTTGTGTGTAATATGTATTAGACACTGTATCCTTGCAATAAAGTAAGCTAGAGAAAAGAAAATGTTAAGAAAATAAGAAAAATTTACTGGGGGAAAAAAAATCTATGTATAACTGGACCCACATGGTCCAAACCCATGTTATCCAAGGTTCAACTGTATATTAAAATATCCTGACAACTCAATTAAACAAAGACAACCTGCTTCAAGATGGCAAAGGACCGGAAGAGACTTCCCAGAGAAGACACACCCACAGCCAACAAGCACAGGAAAAGATGCCCAGCATCCTTAACTAACAGGAAACACACACCGGAACCAGGGAGCCTACTTCCTGCCCACGGAGACGCCGGAATCAGGACAGTGACCCGCGCTGGGGAGCCGCACGCACTGCGGGGGGAGGGAACACGGTGCTGCTCCTTTTAGAGCCTGTGGCAGCTCCTCAGAAAGTTACATACGGGGTCAGAACAGGACCCAGCCATCCCACGCCTCGGGAGACACCTCAGGGAAATGAGAACACACGTCCACGCGAAAACTGGTACATGGATGCTCATAGCAGCATTAATCATAGCAGCCAAAGGGAGAAACAACCCAAACATCCGTCAAGTGGATGGATATGCAAAATGCAGTATATCCATATAAATGGTGGATTATGTGCGATAAAAAGAAATGAAATGCCGATAGATGCTGCAACACGGATGGACCTTGAGAACATATGCTCAGTACGAGGAGCTGATCATGAAGGACCACATACTGCACGGTTCCACTCACATGAAACGTCCTGAACAGGCACTCCTACAAAGCAGACTGGTGCCTGCCCAGGGCCAGCGCAGGGTGGAGGGAAATGGACAGTGACTGGGGAGGGGATACTTGAGGAAGGGATGAAATATTTTAAAACAGCTGGTAGTGGCTGCAAACTCTGTGAATACACTAAAAACCTCCAAAGTGTATACTTTAATGAGTAAACTGTATGGTGTGTGAATTACTAGTATAGCCAATAAAGTTTTACCAACCCCCCCGATACATAAATATGTAAAATCTTTTTGTTAAACACACGCTTTTGCAGATGGCACTGTGGTTAGAAGTGTGGCTGGTGTCAGGCTCGTGTGTGTTCTAGTTACTCCCCACTCCGAGGGGTGAATTCTTTAACCCCTAAGCTGTTACTGAGGCTCTCGTATCGCAGATGTGCGCTGGGTTTAATAATACCCATTTCCAAAGGGAGGTCTTCTGAAGATTCAATGGTCTCAGAAAACAGTATCAGCTATTATAATTATTAACTAACACATATAATTTCAAACAAGTAATAGCAAAATGTGCAAAAGTGAGGAGACTTAAGAAAATGAAAATACGCTATGTAGTGGGACCTCCTTATGCCCCTGAAGCAAGAGCTATGAGGGCCTATGCAGATATGAAGAGTCTTGTCTATGTGAAATGCTAGCAAAACCCAGCAAAAATAGGAGGTCCCAATGGGGCCAAACATGGAAGACTCAAACGTGTATGGCGCAGAGTGAGACACAGAATTTCACAGAGGAACCGTGTCATAAGGGCAGGCGTCTCTGAGTTCGTTCTTAATTCACTGCTTCACCGTGTGGGCATCCTAAAGTTAGTTGGTAAGAGTAATTAAAAATAAAACAAATTATATCCCATCAAAATGAGGAGGCTCAAATACACAGAGGTTTCCCGGTGCTGTGTCACTGCGGATGGCCCTGAAAAAGCTTCTAACTCGTCAGGGGCCCTTCTGCTCAGTCCTGCTCGGGACTCACAGGGATCCTGTGTCCGCTGGCGGGCAGTCTTCCTGGTTCGGGCCTTTCTTGTGAGCTCCAAGAGCCCAAAACGGGCACATAATTGCCCTTGCATTCCCTGGGCATCTTCTGACTTCCCCCTTTTGCATCGGGGTCTTTGCCAAGCGTGGCTTCAGCACACAGAGGATGCACTGAGGACAGACTGCCACCCGCCTCTCCATCCATTCCTGTGACCAGCTCAGCAGGGAGCGCCCTCTGGGAGACAGGGACGTTGGGCTCACTTACACGGTGCTCACCAGAATGCTACAAACCCCTTGGAGAACTGAGTCAGGCACCAGTTTATTCATGGACAAGCAGTAGGGACTTTCCTAAAATATTTCCAAAGAAAAATGCACATCACACCACCTAAAACTATACCCGGAGGAAGGAACCGGCATTGGGATGGGCGGGACTACAGGGGACTCACGTGTGTCCACCGTCTCCTGGATCGGGATGAAGCCCACGGGCAGCGTGTCCTTGATGTCGATGAGCTTCATGTCCACCAGCACGTTCCCTAAGTGGCTCTTGGGAAGAGAGAAAAGACCATTACTCCAGACAGGCCTGCGGTGTGTTTGCTGTGTTGGCCTCGAGATGCATATCGAACACCATAACCTGTGGCAGCTTCGCGACGGCAGGTTAACAAGAACGGGAGCCCCTTCATGTCCCTCGGCGGCCACACGGGGACTCGGGGCCGGGAAGGAGTTTCCCTGCAGAACCTCACAGCCGCTCCCTCAGACCCGGACACGGCACGCCCCGGTGAGGCGGACGGGCAGCCAGGAGTGCGGAGGCACAGCCGGAAGAGGACGCTGTGCACCCGTCCCGGGCCGGCTCCCCGGCCCCGCGGGTTAGAGGGCACATCCCTGGGCAGCCGTGGGGGGAGCTGCGTCCAAACCGAACAGAGCCAACCGCACCCCTACGTGGTTCCAGCCTGCATGTCGGCACACATTTCTGCTGCTCAATACATTCTGTAAAATCCTAGGAATCATAAAACACAGCATGGAGCAGCCTCAGTATCACACACCTTCCGGAATGCACGCACCGGGGCCTTAAAGCTTCTATTTAGCGGTAGCATGCGGGGTCCACGGTGCGCAGCGTCTGTGACCAGTGCAAAAACGTCTTCCCAAGACAGCTCCCGCCCCATAACTGCGAGAGAACCATCTGCAAATGCCCTGGAATGAGCCCTGAAGATACCTGCCCCCCAACTTCAATACGGGGGCTACCCCGAAGGTGTCCTTAAACCCTTCAGAGGAGTCTGCGGGTACTCCCCCCGTCGCCAGCAGAGCCAGCCAAGGACGGACTGATGGCTGTGACCCCACCTCTCTCCAGTGAGGATGCCAGCCACCCACTCTGCGTGCCACTTCCCAGAAGCACCTCGCCCACGTGAGCACGCTCGGGCTCCTTGCTCTGTGTTTGGACCAGCACCCAGCTGGCCAGCCTGGCGCTCTGGCCTCCACAGCACCTCCTCAGGCCTGTGTCTGCTCTGCACATGGACAACAGCCCCCCCCTCCCCGCACGATGCCAGCTGACACGCTCCCTGCCCCCCCCACGATGCCAGCTGACACGCTCCCTGCCCCCCCCACGATGCCAGCTGACACGCTCTCTGCCCCCCCCACGATGCCAGCTGACACGCTCCCTGCCCCCCCCACGATGCCAGCTGACACGCTCTCTGCCCCCCCCGCACGATGCCAGCTGACACGCTCCCTGCACCCCCCACGATGCCAGCTGACACGCTCCCTGCCCCCCCCCACGATGCCAGCTGACACGCTCCCTGCCCCCCCCTCCCCCGATGCCAGCTGACACGCTCCCTGCCCCCCCCACGATGCCAGCTGACACGCTCTCTGAGGGCCGCTTAGGGAGTTCCTCTGCCCGCACTCTCCGCTCTATGCTCGCGTGGCACTATTTCCTTCACGTCGACTTATCATGGCACCTTTTCGGGGTTATTTGACTTGTCTCCCCACTAGAGTTTAAGAACCACCAGGACCAAAACTATCTGCCACTGCTATAAATCTAATTCTTGGCACACAACAGGTGGTCAGTCATTATTTGGTGAAAACAACTAATTTTTTTTGGTACATTTTCAGCTGGGTGGGCTGCTCAGAGTGAGAAAACAGATTGGGTTTTCTGGGATGACGAATCTAAACTCTATCAATAAAAACATTAAAAGTATATTTAATAAGTATATCTATATAAAAGCCTAAGCGACCGTTAGACCAGTAGCTATGACATGCACTGACCACCAGGGGGCAGATGCTCAATGCACAGGCATGGAAACATAGAACAGACTGATGAATCTTCGTGGGAAGGGTGAGTGGGGAGGGCAGGAAGAGATTAACCAAATACCTTATATGCATACTAGAGACCCGGTGCACAGATTCATGCACCACTAGGGTCCCTCGGCCTGGTCTGCAGGGATCAGGCCAAAACTGGCATCCCCTGAGGGGTCCTGGATTTCGAGAAGGTACAGGCCAGGCGGAGAGACCCCACCAGTGCACGAATCCGTACATTATAAATCAAAAGCACACAAATGAAATACAATGTTTAAATGAAACTGAAGGTCATGAGTCAAGTGTACACCAGTGCCGTTGTCACAAAACCATTTCCTTCTCGCAGAACTCTCTAGAAGTCCTCCTCAGTGGCCGCCTCAGGCAAACAGCCCACAGTGCGGCCCGGCAGGCGGACTAGGGACCCTCAGGGTGCGGACACATCTCTGACCTTGCACGGGGCTTGAACCGTGAGCCTAACTCGCAGACATGCCTGCCTGCAGAGCTGCCTCCTCCAACCCATCACCATTTTTTCCATGGCGGCTGCGTTTCCCTGCCATCGCTGCGCTCTGTGTTGAGAAATTAGCACTGGGTGTGTCCCTCCCGGAGACAAATGGGCTTCATCAGTATCCTCTGCACATGCCTTCCCCCTGACAAGCCGGGTTCCGTGGAATTCCACTGCAAACCACTCAGCGGCCTCACCCTCCACACCACAAACGTCCCGGGCCATAAAACCAGAACGTGGGTGGGGCGGCCATTTTAAAAAGCATCCAAAACCCTCCCGTGCACACCAACCGGGAGCTGTGCGGCCAGAGCTTCCCCGCCTGCGCGGGCCCTCCACGCCCAGGGCTGCACGGCACCGGGTTTAATACGGTGGGCCTGCGACGCCATTAATTCCGCGTGTCCCTCTCCCCTCCCCCACCCCGGGCTCACTTTCATTTCCTCCTCATAAATATGAAGAACGTATTCCCCATCCTTGTTGAGCAAATGATTCATGCCAAAAGCCCAATATGCACTGACTCAGGGTATTTATATTGCCTCTGGTCGCCAGTGCTTGCTAGTATACTGTAATTATTTTTGACAACCTTGCATTTAAGGTAGCCACAGATAACCAACTTAATATTCAAATGTTCATAAATCCTTCTGTTTAATATCCTCCCTACCTAATCTATGTACATTATTATTACAGGTAATGCAAAAAGTACAGGGCATGAGAAGTGCAATTAATCTCGATCCTTCCCCAGGAAGCAGTGTCACTCCAAAGCCGGGTTCCGGTATTAATGGCGTTATTGGGGGAAGGAAATTTAAGTTCCAGAGGAGTCTCCCCAAACTCCTACCCTGGGAGTCTCAAGTCACCTAATTAAGAATCGGTCCGGCCTGAGATCCCGGTCCCTCCTTCCCAGCCGCACAAATTACGCCATCGCGTCCTCCTGACAGCAGGCCCACGGCGGCTGCGGCAGATCAGACGATGCTTCATTCCTGTCCACCCCTGGCCAGCGTGGCCCCCGCCGCCACCCCGGAAATGGATCCCTTTGGGTTTCACCAAGGGACCCTCATCTCTTTCTGGAACCAGATGACCTACTTCCTCTGCTGCTTCCAAGGAGCGGCAGGGGTCTCCCCAGGGCCCGGTCCTCACCCGACACCCTCCTCATGCCCCACCCGCTCCCGGGCCTCCAGGAGGGCGCACGAAGGAAGCCCTCCATGGACATCTCTTCAGTGCTCAACAACTGGTGCCTGGAGCATGCACTCCCCACAGGAGCTTTAACACCAAAATTAACCAGCGCAGGCCACGCACCTGCCGTTTTAGACTTGTCACTGTCCCCACACAAAGGGAGACTCCTCTGGCCTAGAGCACCAAGAACCCACAGCCTTTGGGGGAAACGCAACAACAAAAATCACACACACACACACACACACAGACACACACACACACCAAGCATAACACACACACACACACAACACACATAACACACACACATAACACACACATGACACACACATAACACACACACAACACATAACACACACACAACACACATAACACACACATACACACACATACACACACACACAACACACATAACACACACACACACACACACACACACACACTGTAAGTGGCATATGAGATCATAGCTCCCAGGAAGCCGCCGTTCTGAGCTGCAGCCTCCTCAGTCAGGACAGGGAGGATGAGATCAGAAATGACCCGTGAAGCCACTGAGCAGAGCGAGGCCATCCCCAGAGTCCATCCTCACAGCCCGGCGTGGCAGGGAGCAGCTGACCTCGGCGCCAAGGGCATCATCAAAAATTCCCCATTTACTGCCCGAGTCTGAGGAAGGCACCGCTAACAGGAGTGGACACTGGTGAATGCCCGCCTGCAGGACAGGGGGACACCATGGCACACAGAGACCGGGGGAGACCATTCTGGAAACGGCGAAATCTGGGGGAGGGCTGAGTAGGCAGCACCTTCCTAGCTGTGCCTCTGGGTGTAGGTCAGCTTTCAACCCGACTCCTCCGAAAGTTCTCCCATCCCTCCCCCCTTTCCCCGCCCCCCACACACACCTGGGATTTGTTCCTCGGAGGCAAGGTGGGCAAATGAGAGCTGCGAGAGGAATTCCTGGTTCGCTTGAGACATTTTAGTGGAATTCACGGTACACTGGGGCACACGGTTAATAATAAACACTCTTCATAAAGGAAGCCCAGCGTGGGCTGCTGATGCCACCCGGTTCACTGAAGCCATAGCTGAGTGAATGTGGTGACGAGGATCAGCCACAACAGACACCGAGGACAATCCAGGCGGCAGGGTGCGCGGCGTGCTCTCACTCAGCAAGCGGAAAGGCGCGTTGAGACTTACGTTTTCTTTGGAAAACGATCTGGTGAAGCACAGGTATCTGGTGACCTTGGACTTGAACAGGCCGTCCTTCCAGAGGTCAGCGTCCACGCCGTCTGCCGTCTGCGCCACCTGCAGAGAGTGGACCCAGGTGAGGAGTGGAGCGAAGCGTGCCCGCCTCCGTGCCTGTGCCAATTAGCACCGGCCGAACCCGCACGGCATCTCATTAGCTCACTTCTCCGGCCCTGGCTGAGACTTTCCAAAGGGGAAGGGAGAGTGAAAACAACTTCTAAAAGCTTGGCCCCGGGGAAGCCTGATTAAAGACACTCTGACAAAACGGGTCCTAATGAGAAGAGAACAACTTCTGTTGTAATGGCCAGGAAGTCAGCACATCAGGCTGCTCATTACCGCCCGTGGGGGAGGTCGGGGTGCAGGAGGAAGCCCAATGGGGTATGAGATGCCCTCTGAGAGGGCACCGCTGTGTGGAGCTGGCACAGCCCTACTCCAGGACCCCGGGACCGCCAGGTGCTTCGTCCGTGGGGTCCACGGGGCCGGGCAGGTGTCAGGAAACCCCTCCCTGCGTATCGTCCAGGCACCAGCTCTGCGAGTGCTAGTCAAGGTCGGGAACTGTCTCGTGTTAGGAAAAGAAGGCAGACCCGGCTTCCAGGCTATAGCCTCACCAGGAAGCCGTTTGCCAGGTACAGATGCTGGCGTTTCCCTCTGAGGAGAGGTCAAGGATGAACCAGCTGAAACCTGTTTGGCTCGGTGGTAGAGCATCGGTCTGCGGACTGAAAGGTCCCGGGTTCGATTCCGGTCAAGGGCATGTACATTGGTTGTGGGCACATCCCCGGTAGAGGGTGTGCAGGAGGCAGCTGGTCGATGTATCTCTCTCATCGATGTTTCTAGCTCTCTATCCCTCTTGTTTCCTCTCTGTGAAAAATCAATAAAATATATTTAAAAAAAAAAAAAAAAAGGATGAAGCCAGCCGTGCTCTGGGCCCACAGGACCGGTGCACGGGCTGCGGGAGGGGCTGGTGTGAGGGCTCCAGGGGGAAGGGCTTGTGAGGAGACGGGAGGAAGGGGAGGGGCTGGAGGAGGACTGGGACCTCCAGGTGCTCCTGGTGAACTCTCCTAACACGCCAGTCTTACCAGCATCTCTCGGCGGGTCCATCCACCTCCAGCACCGCGGCTGGCACCGTGGGGGACACCAGAAGGCTCGGGGAGCAGCATCCCCGTCGGGGTACACTCGGTGTCTCCCTGCCTCGGGAAGCGGTCCTTGATCTGACAACCTCCGGGCCACGCTGACAAAGTGCCGGAAGCACCTCCTTCTTTACACAGAACCCTGCCGTCAGCCCCACGCAGGAGCGGCTCACGCACGCCTGCGGCCGCAGTCACGGCCCCGGCACCAGCACCAGCCGGGGAGGCCCGGAGCCCCCGCCATTCCCGGAGGCTGCCCCAGGAACGCCCAGGAGCAGCAGGCAAAGGAAAATGCCAGTGTTCAAACCCAACAATGGTGGATTAGAAATGCTACAAAGGCGGAGAAAGGGACTTCTGCTAAATATGCAAACGTGTTTGGCTGGAACCTGGGAGAAAAGAATGGGGGTGAGGTAGGAGCCGCCGCTCCAGCGATGTGGTCCCCACGGGAAGGAAGATGCTGGTTCGGGATCAGACCTCGTCAGCACTTCCCCGTGACGACACACATCGAATTTCTGAGATTTAATGCAGTGGCCCCAACTCGCACTACTGAAGACCCCTTCGGTGTGTTTCCTTCCCTGGATCCATGTTTTGAAAGGTTTTTTGTTTCTCAAGCTCCACTTTCCCTGAATTTCCTAAATTCTAGGATGGAGTCATCTGGGAATCATTTAAAGATTTAAAGAAACACCCTTTAGAAAAATAAGAAATAGCAGCATATCAAAATGTACAAATCTATATATTGCTAGGTGCATCCCAATTTCGGAACCACTAAAATGTGAAAATAAAAAATGTACGGGAACAAAGAAACGCCATGCCACCTGACACCTGTTTGGTTTCTCTGTAACGAAGGCATTCTTGCTAATATGTTTAAACAAGTCTGCAGAACCCTTGGAGTCTGAGGAGCCACAGCTGGTACCCCAGACGGCAGAAAGCTGTGTCCCCCCTCCCACGGGGCGGAGGGGCCCGGAGGCTCTCGGGTGTATGGGGAGATCCACACCACGGCTACCGTCCCCACGGTTTGGAAATGACACTTCCCTCTTTCGCCACTGGCAGAACTTCCCTTTTCTGAGCGAGAAGACACTTGAACAGGATGGAGAGGCCTGGCGGGCAGAGTGAGGGGGACAGACCGGCCCTTCCTCAGTGCCCCTTTTCCACCCTGATGAATCTGAGAAGCATTATAAACGAACAAACAAACCACAGGCCAGGGCTTGCCCTGAGGCCACAACTCATCTCAACGAAGCACAGATGTGTAATGCCCTCCAACTCACCAAGGGGAGGCAGGCAGGAGGAGGGGGCAGGGGGGCTGGTCCCGATCGGTCCACCACAGGGAACGGAAAAGTCCTGCCTCAAAGCAAAAGAAGAGAATCCCACCCAGTATGGGATCAGAAAACCACCGGGAGCACTTGCAGAGAAGGGACAGGCCCCACACCACGGGAACGACAGGCCCCAGACATCCCCGTGGCCTAATTACCTTACAACTGCAAGTTCATGCCTTTGACTCTACGTAACTTTTATGATAGGAAAACCAACAGTTTAAAAGCCTTCATCTGATGCGGTGAGGAACAGAGATCTGCCTGAGAAACTTCTAGAGTAAGGTGACCAGACGTCTCGCTTTTGGCGGCGCAGTCCCGATTTTTAACAATTTGTCCCGCGTCCCGCAGCGTTAAAAAAAATCGGGACAGGCCCGTGCGGCCAGCCTCAGCGCCGTCAGGGGCCCTGCCCGCGGGACCCAGCGCTCTGCCCGAGGGGAGCTCCCGGAGGACACCATGGCTCACCTGCAGGTTCCTCCACCTGCTCACGCCCGGGATTAGCAGAGCCCACCCACGAGGCAAAGCTGTGCCTGGCAGACAGACGGCAAACGGGGCCAGGAACTGCAGACATTCCAAAGGAAAGGCCTGGCTCACGCTGCCGGTAAGAAGGGAGTTCAAAGGGCCTGGATGCGTTAGAGCCTGCACGGTGGGAACACGTGGCCCGGGGCAGTGGCCAACCACGGAGCCACGCCAGCTCTCCGTGGGCATCGCAGGGAGGGTGGGCACGGCAGGGAGGCAGGGCCATCCTTGGGGTCCTCCAGGAGGGGCGCCCAAGGTGCTTCTGAAAACCTTAAAGGGGAAAGAGCCGTTCAGCTCAGCTGGTGCCGCGGTGAAGAACGGCAGGTGTCTTTTTGGTTCTGATTTCGTTCGCATCGTTACCGCTTTGTATCCTGAACGGAGAGCTCAACGTGGCCAGAGCTTCCGTTGAAAATGTCCAATACTTTTCAGCAAAAGCAACCAACGCGTGTCTCTGTCAAAATGTATTATATTAGCATTTTTCCTCTGATTAGTTTTATTCTCTATCTTGTACTTTTCTGTGTCTTCCAAATTGTCTACAAAGAGCATGTGTTAGTTCTGAATTCAGAAAATGAATCTATTAAGGAAGGAAGACATTGGTCAATAGCATTCAAAGCTCAGACGAGGCCAAGAATTGGGGAAAAACTACTGAGTTAGACAGGAACTGCGGGTGAGTGAAAAGAATGGCCAAGAGATGGCGGCAGGAGCCCTGGGCAGGCAGGGCTTCCTGTCAGAGACGGGCTGGGAGGTGGGGAGGTGGCAGGATGGTGGCAGTGGCGACATCTCCTCGTTTTGGGGAAGGGGGACAGCCGCAGGTGTGTTTGGACAGGATGAAAGGATTTACACAGGGAGGATTAACAAGCAAGAAAGGAGGAGGAGGAAGTGGCCATGAGACCTGACCTGGGGGATTTGTCTCGTGTCACCTCTTTCTTGTTTTCTGCCTGTGGACGGGTCTGTAGGTTACGGGCAGACAGGGACCACCTCCGACTCATGACTCCCAGTGCCCAGCCCGGGACCTGCAGGTTACCCTCGTCTGCTCCGTCATCTCCGGACTCGAAGGAAAGCTCCTCCGCTCCAGGGCGTGGGCTTTGGGGAGGACGCGCTTGGGCACGGGGGTGGGGGGGCTGGAGAGGGCTCACCAAGGACGGCACAGACCGGAGACCCCACGGAGACTCAGCACGCCTCAGTGCCGTCTTAGGAACAAGGGGGTTTTTCTATGAAACCAAATTCCAGACCTCAAGGCAGGCCCAAAGATAAGCCTGTGAAAACAACATGGGTCTAAGGTAAGGTGACCGATCGTCCAGGTGTTGGCGGGACAGTCCTGATTTCTAATGATTTTTCCCGCATCCTGCGGCGTTTTAAAAAAGTCCCGATTTTTGGAAAGATTGGAAACATTGGATTCTTTCCAAAAATCGGCATTTTTTAAAAATGCCGCGGGATGCGGGGAAAAATTGTTAGAAATTAGGACTGTCCCGCCAACACCTGGACGATCTGGTCACCTTAGTCTAAGGTGAGAAGGCACCACCTTTGACAAATAGCACCATTTTCCCCTTAGCGAGGGCCCTAGCAGGAGACGGCTAAGAAAATAGTGAAAACTCGAGGACCTGGGATTAGCAAAAAAATCTAGTGATGCTTCCTGGCTCCCTAGGCTTTGAGGAAGGACATGGGTCTGCACCCAGCCTCCCCCTCCCCCTCCCCCACACCCCTCCCCCACCTCTCCCCCACTCTGCTGGCCCACCCCTGCCCACGCTCCCCCCATGGAGTGGTGGTACGGGTTCCTGCTGGATCAGAGGGAGCAGCTCAGATTGCAAGGCGGGTCTCCCTCCGGCTTCTGGCGGCGTTAACAAAGGTGTCACCAGAAAGAGACCCGGCAAGGCGAGGGGGCAGGAAGAGTTAATGTGATGGGATTAGGAGGAGACGAGTGGAACCGGTGAGCTCATGAGTCACGCTCAGTGACAGGAGCAAGAAAGCAAAGGAGATGAACTGGCACTTGTGACTAAGTCACCCTTCTTCTTTACTCTATTACTCAGCTCTCAAACCACACTGCCAGCTGTAATTGCATTTCAATTCATGTTTAACACAAACATAACTTAGCTGGATGTTGGCATCCAAT